ATATATATATATATATATATATATGCAAGTTTCGTTTAAAACGTCCTACAAGATGTGATGGTTTTTTTTTTTAGGACATAAATTATATAAAAATTCTCCGAATATTATCCGAGCGCTTTCGATTATACTGTTAGCCATTATCAAAGATTTATTTTATTTTACTTTTACTGGATATATGCATTGTTTTATGTATGCATCTAGAGTTATGGGAATGTTTTATTTTGCAAACAAGGCCAGCACATTGTGGCCTTGTTCATATTGGATTTTTTTTCCTTTTTGTGTAATAATGCTAAGTTATTTTTACTCTTTTTCTTACACGTGGATGATGCTATTATATGTGTATTATCAACGTGTATGTTACGGAGAGGGTTTGGTAGGTCTCCATGTTTATTTAAATGAGACCTAATTGAGCTATGATCAGAGAGATGTAACATTCGAAAAAATTTTATAGAAATTATACCCGGAAAAGAAAAAAAATTTTAGAACACATGAGAAATTATATAAAAATAAAACTCATTCAGCACACCTTGTCAGTCGTTTTCAATGAAACTGGCATAAAAGAGTGATTGCTGCCCATAATTATATAATATATATATATATATATATATATATATATATATATATATATATATATATATATATATATATATATATATATAAATATAAAATATAAAGAAAGAAATTGTAAGATATATAATCCGGTGTTCATATGATTTTTGCTGTGTCTTTAAAACCCAGTAATTTTAAAATGGAACTAATGTCTTTAATTTAATTACAAAATTAAATTCAGAGCTTTTAGCTTCCATTTTTGAAACATGGTTAGAACTGTGTAGCGAAAAAAACATATTTTAAATCAATTAATTTATTATATATATATATATATATATATATATATATATATATATATATATATATATATATATATATATATAAGTTAAATCCAGGATGAGAGCCAAATGTATAAATTTATTTACAAAGCAATATAAATTAATAAAGAAAATACTTAAATATTCGTCATATAATCGTTTATAAATTTATTTCAACAGATATACATATATATACCTGCCTCATTAGACCGACTACATTTTATTAAACTGTAGTTAGTCTGATGAGGCAGGTATATATGTATATCTGTTAAAATAAATTTATGACCGATTATATGACGAATATTTAAGTCTTTTTTCTTTATTGTTTATTTACTTATATATATATATGTGTGTGTGTGTGTGTGTGTGTGTGTGTGTGTGTGTGTGTGTGTGTGTCGAAGAGGAAAGGGAATAATTTAAAACCTACGACTTTGTTAGCAACTCTGATGAGGACCCGCTTCGATTTTTGACGTAATGTTTCTTCTTTCTTTTGCCGCAGATCCATCGTCCTTTGTCTGTGTGTAGAACTGCCTGCAACTGTCTGCTTGCAACCTTAAAATAAAGACGACATCTTTGCCTATTTGTGCCCCGCATCCGAGACAGACATTGAAAAAGGTAAGGGGCTTTCTAGGCACGGGCGGGATTATTTAAATAGGGTTTCTGAAAATGGGTTTCTCTTGTTACGACATCACAATGGATGAATATGGAAAACAAAAAACAATGAGATTAACAGAGATGGGTTTGGATGTGGAAGATAGACAGAAAAGAAAGAGAAGGGTGTTGACATCAGATGGACGGAGAGATGTTGACGTGTGTGAAAAAGGATAAAATGAGAGGGTAATGAAAGGAGAAAGAAAGAAACATTAATGAATGAATTCAAAACAGAGATAACGGGGAAAGGGAGCAAAAAGAAAGAAAGAAAGAAAGAAAGAAAGAAAGAAAGTAAGAAAGAAAGAAAGAAAGAAAGACGTGAGGAAGGAAGAAAAAAGAAATACGTGAGGGTGGAAAGAAAGAAAGAAAGAAAGAAAGAAAGAAAGAAAGAAAGAAAGAAAGAAAGAAAAGAAAGAAAAAAAGAAAGAAAGAAAGAAAGAAAGAAAGAAAGAAAGAAAGAAAAATAAGAGAGGAAGGAAAGAAAGAAAGAAAAGAAAGAAAGAAAGAAAGAAAGAAAGAAAGAAAGAAAGAAAGAAAGAAAAATAAAAAAGAAAGAAAGAAAGAACGAAAGAAAGAAAAAGGAAAGAACGAAAGAAAGAAAGAAGGAAAGAAAGAAAGAAAGATTTATCACTGAATTAAAAACAATGTGAAGGGGGTAAAAATAAAAAATAGAGAAAGGGAAGTAAGAAAAATTAATAAATAATTAAAGACAAAAGCAATGTGAAAAGTAAAAATGAATGAAAATAGAAAGAAAAAAGCAAGAAAATGTGAAAAAAAAAATCAAAAAGTTCTAATTTTGTTCCATTTCGTTTAGATTTTGGAAATTTAATCAGGACGAGAACTTTTCAACATCTCCGCACATAAATGAATGAAAAAACGAAAAAACAAAAACAAAACAAAACAAAACAACAAAAAAAAAACCCCCAGTACAACAAAGATTTCATATTCAATTTTTCTATTCTTTTAAATGGTCAAAGATGGTTGAAATAATTCGAACCTATGGGGACGGACAATTTTTATAGACAATGGAAGCAAATATTATATGTGAAAATCACGAAATAAATGCTAAAACGAACTTTTATCTCTAGTCCCTAATAAAATCATCTCTCTCTCTCTCTCTCTATATATATATATATATATATATATATATATATATATATATATATATATATAATAAAAGGAAGAGGTTATAGTAGTTTTAACAGGAGAAAAGTGTGTATATTAAAAAGAAAAGAAAAACCGCAAACGTTTTTTGTTGTAATGTGGATTTAAAAAAAAATATATTATGCTTTATTTTCCATAATTCCATAGGTGGGTGGGTAGATGTGTTATGATCATGGGTTTATAATGCTTCACCAAACTGAAGATCACGAGACTGTGAAACACGAGTAAGAACTCGGAATGTCCTTTGTTAAGTGTTGACGCTTGAAACGTTGTTCCCTCTCTCTAGATAGACGTTGAGTATTTTATTGAATTGGTAGGTGTTTACAATTTGGTCTTTCTTTTGTCTTTTCTTTTTCGGGATTTATTCTGCCTAATTATATATATATATATATATATATATATATATATATATATATATATATATATATATATGCATGTTTCATTAAAAACGACAGAGAAGGTACTACGATTAAGCATTTTATTTAATTTTTTCTTGTGTTCGCACAAGAGCTTACTTTTTTGGACACAGTGTGTAGAAACTGCCCAAATGTTCTCTAGTTTCAAGCGTTTTCAGCTATACCATTAGCCATTATCATAGATGATTTTATTTTTCAATTTAAGCGTGTGCCTATATGTATTTTTATATTGTGATATACAGATGTTTTATTTTCCGAATACGGTTAGCACATTGTGGCCTTGTTCGTAGTTAATATTGTTAAGAGTTGGCTTTTTCTTTTTTATTATTAGGGCTTCCATTATTTTTAATCTTTTTTTTTTTTACATGTGGATGAGGTTATTATTTGTTTTCTAGAAACCATTTAAATACACACAAGCCTACCAGACTCCATTCGAAACATACTAGTAGAAAACAATGAAGGATTGCTGCTTAAATACAATAATATATATATATATATATATATATATATATATATATATATATATATATATATATATATATATATATATATATATATATATATATATATATATATATATATATATATATATATATATATATATATATATATATATATATAGTGGTAGTCGTTTGTAAAAATCTCGGATAGCTCAATTTGCAGTAGAACAAATTAGTACCTGAGCAAAAATTGAGGAATAAAAAAAGAAAGAACTAAGAACATTAAACGAAGGCGAAAACAATCGTTCAGTGTTTAAGTTCCAAGTCCAAAGAAAAAAAAAAACAAAACGAGTAAAAAGACAACGACGTAAAGTGCTCAATACACGAAGTAGAGCAAAACCTAAGATAATCCTAAGGAGCCAGGTAAACGTATCTAGGTTTCACCTAAACCGATCTTCAGGGTCATACCGGAATAACCCTGAAGATCCGTTTATGTGAAACCTAGGTAGGTTTCACTGGCTAAAGGATTATCTTATATATATATATATATATATATATATATATATATATATATATAAATATATATAAGATGAAATAAAAAAAGATGAAAAAAGAAAATACAAAATTCATATTTTCTTCGATTTTAATTTTTTTTAATAATCTGACGTGTATACAATTATAATTTTTGGACATCCAAAATAAGATTTTCCAATATATATGTTTCTATGTATCATTCCTTCCTCCCTTCATTTCTTCAATCCTTTCTTCTTTCGTTCGTTCCTTCATTCTTTTCTTCTTTCATTCCTTCTTTCTTTCTGTATTATTGTTTGTGTTTTCTTTCCTTTTTTTAATCCCCCTTTGTTTTTTCATTCCCACGATTAGCCTCCATTGTTCCTGTCTTCCTCTTGATTTCCTTCTCTTTGCCATTTTCCCCATTTTCTCTTCTTATCTTTTTCTTTCCATTCCGTCCTTTGTTCCTTTCCCACGGAAAGCCTAATTTTCTCTTCTCGTCCTTAAATTTCTTTCCTGTATTTTTCATCTCTCAAATGACCAAATATGGTGCAAACAAAATGGCGTATAAGCCGCCAGATGACGTAACGTTCCCCCGGTTAGCTTAATGAATTGGATCTTTTTCTTTTTTCCGTCAGGCGTTCTGAATTGCATTTGATTCTATCATGGCGACCGGCCGAGCTTGTTCGTTGAGAGCCCTTTCTGCAGACGATTTAGGTGCAGAACAACGCAAGGCAACCTGACCCTCAACCTCAGGAAAGGAAGTGACAATAATTATAGAGGACTCTCAATCGGTTGGCTCAGGAGAGATGGATTGTTGCTGATGCCACTAAAGAAGAAGAAGAAGAAGAAGAAGAAGAAAATGACGGTAGACATAAGACTTTTGGAGACTTTATGGGAACTGAAAAGTGTATGTGATCATATTTTCGGTTTTAATTATAACATGGGCTTACGTTGAAACTTCGTTACTCGTACGATCACTGTAGTTAAGCAACGTCGATCCTGGTCAGTACTTAGATGGGTGACCACTGGGGAATATCAGGTTCTGTAAGCTTGGATATGTTGGCAGAATAAAGTGTTTAATCATTGAAATACATTCTCGTTGATCAATGTGGAAATGTGGCACCTTGCATTATTAGAAATTCTCTGAAATATGATTTAATTTTTTCTTATTCGGTTTACTAAACAGGTTGTTGATTTTTTTTAAACGGAAAATAATTGAGTTGAAAATAATTCACTAAGATTGTACTTTTTACGATCCTAAGGGAAGAAGAAGGAAGGGGAAAGAGAGGAAAGAGGAAAATACAAAAAAAAAAAAGGTCATTTAGTCAGAAAGATATCTTAGCTAGCATGTTGACCAATTTTTAAAGACAATTGGAAGAATAAAAATTAGAAATAAAAAGAAGAAAGAAAGGGAAAAGACATGATATCAAAACGGGCCGTTTGATGGAAGCCAGATATCGGTCAAAGCACCATGGTATGAAAGACACCTCATCAATTTGGATAAAGAGAAATTTTTTGGGGAACAATGAAACAAATCTTAATCAGAGAAAAAGTGTTTTTTGGGTTGAGGGGAGGACCGGTGGAACGATATACAGATCCTGACCTGTTAAAATTAGAACCCCACAATGATAAAGTTTTTCAATGTAGATAATTAAGATTTTGACTATCAGGAAAAAAAAAGAGGTAAAAAGAGGGACAATTGTTTGGCTCACAGAGGGCGCCAAGAAGGCTTCCCTGAAGTCAAGTCTAATTAGCGGCGGGCTGTTTGACAAAGTCCAGGTGAGAGAAGGCTAAGATGGTCATTTTTCGAGGAAAAAATTAGATTTTGTTTTTTAGAACAAGAACGATATAAGCCCGCCCATATTGATTGCACCGGTCACGTGGCTGCAGAAAGAAAAGAAAGGATGCTCAACCAGAATCCCATTAGCCGAAAACGGTCAATGGCTAGGAAAAGAAAAGAAAAAATGCTCATCAGAAATTTCGAAAGCGGTCACCTGAAATACGACAGACTAAGAGAGATGGATATGCGCCTCCCCACCAAAAGAAGATGAGGAAGTAGGGGTGAAAACAATAGCGATAATGAGGAAACATGTTAATGCGGCTATTGGAATTATCGAGAAAACCATGAACGCCGACAGACCCCCCCAGTTTGTTGCGGCGTCAATAAAAAGCGGACCCCAGTCGACAGAAATCAGTTGGAGTTGAGAGTTGCAGCGGACCGCGGGCAGGGATAGAGCCTGAACGCGGCCATCAGGCCCGATTCATTCCTCAGACAAGAAATCCTTCCCACCCAAGTCGAAGACAAGAGAACTTCCAGCCCAAGCAGACGAAGAAGGAGATTCTCATGAAGGACGCCAAGAGTTGTGGCAGAGTTACAAGAGTTCAGCCCCGACGGCAGCGAGAAGAGATCACCTCGGACGACAGAGATTTGCGGCTGAGTTGCGGCAAGAGATCCTTCCAGCCCAAGTCGAAGACAAGAGAACTTCCAGCCTAAGTCGAAGACAAGAGAACTAAGCCTAAGTCGACGAAGAAGAAGAAATACAACTCAAGTCGGAGAGAAGAATCAACTGCGAATGATCGATAGAAATTAGCCCATGTCGAACCAAACCACACTCCGACATACACAATTCTAAAGAGTAGGCAGAAATCTTTTAGTTTGTGTGATAGAAGTTGATATGGAAATGAGAACAATTTTTGTTTTTATGTAGCGGACATTAAGATATAAAGGGTTGTTACCCAGTTTTTCATCAGCAATCTTTTGTCTCGTGAGTTTATTTTCTTTTTATTTGTGTTTTGCCACCCCGTCGGACTCAACTTGTATCGGCCCCAATCCCTGCTGGTCCTAAGATCTAAACACAGCGGTAGTAGACAGACCGAGATCGGTACAGTTGCTTTAACCAGGTATTGGAAGCGAGTCGGGAAAAGGCGAGGCTCGATCATCTGACCAAGGGTAGCGGCACGCTTGGACCCAGGAGGAGCGACCAAGGATGACGTCACCGTTGGCGCCGCAACGGATCCGACCAGGTCGAAACTGGTCAGACTCTTTGGGTACTGTCACTTTAACGCCTTTTTCCATTGTGCCGTGTGTCCTTGAGGGAATTAACAGAAGATAACTGATAACTGACATCCATTAAACATGGCACGTGGAACTAGAACAGTCTACCCCAGTGAACGAGATGAAGGGTTCAGTTTGACATTCCAACCACCTGAAGAAGGCCGGAGCGTACAACGGCCGAAATGTTGTAATAAATATGGCGACAAAGATGAGGACAATAGTCCGAATAATGTAAATAGGAATGGTTTCTCCTATTAACAATTCCGAACCATTATCCACCTGCATATCCAAGCTTACAGTACCTGGTATTAATCAGCGGTCACCCATTAAGGCACTATTCAGAATCGACGTTGCTTAACTACAGCGATCGTACGAAAATCGGAGTTTCAACGTGATATGACCATAAACACTTTATGCTGCCAACATATCCAAGCTTACAGAACCTGGTATTCCCCAGTGGTCACCCATCTAAGTACTGACCAGGATCGACGTTGCTTAACTACGGTGATCGTACGAGAATCGGCGTTTCAACGTGATATGGAAAGGCGTTGAATCGAACGAATGGCCTATCTTGTTTGAAAGCTAGAATTTGGGATTCTAGTCCCTAACTAGGCTCGAACACCGACCACCGGCCTAGGCGCCAAGTGCCGAGCAATGCAGACTATCTTACAGTCCGATAATAATAATAATAATAATAATAATAATAATAATAATAATAATAATAATAACTAATAGCAGTAGTAGTAGTAGTAATAGTAACCGTGAAAAATTCAGTTTTACTATGAATCATAATTCTTGACGTAATAATTGAATAAGCTTTTTGCAATTTCCCGGACTTTAAAACAGCTGAGAAAATTTCCCCTTTTGCATCGTTAAATATTTGAGCTTAACAACTTTTACAAAATGTTGCAGTAACAATCAAAGTATGAATGCAGGTCATTATTTAAAGAAGGGGGTACAAATGTAAAAATTTGAAACTGACAAGTTTTTCTTTTCCACTGAAACAAACGCTAAACACATGAGAACGATATCGTCTCCTCTACTTTCTTTTTCTTTCTTTTTTATCTGTCTTTCTTTCTTTCTTTTTCTCAATGAAACCAAGAGCGTCTCTGATATGTCTTTTCTGTCTTTCCTCGCAATTAAAACGGAACAGTTGTTCATTGTTTCTGAGGCATTGGCTGGGCACGGCGTACGTGCTAACCAAGTAAGGAACAGACAGAATTACAATATAATAATAATAATAATAATAATAATAATAATAATAATAATAATAAGCAGTGGGAGGAGGAGGAGAAGGGGGAAGGGGAGTATTGTTGGAGTCATCGATGGTTTACAGAGAAGCTTAAATGAGGCAAATTTCCTCAATTCTTCTGGGCACTTCTGAACTGTGTTTAGTGATAATCTTCTGTATGATTTAAAATTTTCCCTTAATGTTTAGATCCTATAGACTTTTTCCGAGAGACCAATTCCTAGTGTTCCGATAACGACTGGTGTAACTGCCACTTTAATGTTCTACAACTTCCTTTCTTTTTTGACAAGGTCCATCTATCTTTACACTTTCCTTTGAGATTAACCCTTTGATTCCCGAGAATAAGGAAATCCACGATTTGACAGTTTTTTTTTTCTTTTTGTATAAAGCAACGAAATTATTATTATTATTATTAGTCATTATATTTGTTACCGCCTCGTTTTCTGTCCATCAACTGATTGTTGTTATCAAATCAATAATCGATCAATAACAAACAAAGCTTTTCAGAATGAGTCATTGCTATAAAAAAAGGTTGAATCAGTCAAAAAATCTCACCTGCTTGTAAAAGTATATTAGCGTTTTTATTCACTGACCAACCGGTGTGTATGTAAACAAATATGTACAGAGAAGCCACGCCCTCTGCCTTGGGAGCTCGACTTTAATCCATCAATAAGTACAAATCATTTGAAAAAAAATCAAGAAAAGACAGGGAAGTTATTTTTCAACGATATCTAATGTTTTTACACGTGTATACACACTTGTTCGATTTAACTACACATATAATAAAAACGAGTCATATTTTGAGACAAAAATAATTTAGAAAAAATGTTAAAATAATCAAAATTAGAGACGGCAATATACTGAATGGTTTCTTCCAAATTCACCTTTTATTTTTATCATTTCACCCCATGCAAGGCAATAATGCCACTAAAATGCAAGGGATTACTGAGTGAGACAGAATATGAAAAAAAGAAAAAACAGTATGAAGGAGAGAGAAAAATAAAAGAACAAGAATTAAGAAGACAGAAGATATCGATTGACATTGCATTTAAATTTTGAAGCTTAACTTGGATACAAGAAACCTGAAGAGTGCTCCACAAGCGATAAGGGCAAGAGAAGAAACTGTTAGCATAGAACTTACGGTTACATCTAGCCATTTCAACTGTAAAATGATGCGATCTAACCGCTACTACGCTTAAATTTATAAAGACTAGGAAAGTTTATCAGAACAATTACCAAGAAAATATAGAAAAAAATAGATAGATAGATAGATAGATAGATAGATAGATATGAACAGACTGAGATAGATAGATAGATAGATAGATAGATAGATAGATAGATAGATAGATAGATAGATAGATACGAACAGACTGAGATAGATAGATAGATAGATAGATAGATAGATAGATAGATAGATAGATAGATAGATAGATAGATAGATATGAACAGACTGCGATAGATAGATAGATAGATAGATAGATAGATATGAACAGACTGACATAGATAGATAGATAGATAGATAGATAGATAGATATGAACAGACTGAGATAGATAGATAGATAGATAGATAGATAGATAGATTAAATTTAAAAAAATATATTTATTGTAAAACTTCATTATTCATCGAAAGTTTTTTTTCTTAAGACAGTAATGTCCATAATATTTGATCCCAAAAAGCAATTATAAGATTTTCTTAATAAATTAAGTCTTTTCTCCTAGGACTTGTTCTTATAAGTAATATAATC